TAAGCAGCTTATGCTGTTGTTTACGTGCAGATGATGTATTAAAAAAATGATCATGCCAGGCCATGATTTGGGAAAAATTAAATAAGCGCCCCTCCTCGATTAAGCGCCCCCTCGAATAAGCGCCCCCGTCTTCTCCTAAATTTGAAATAAGCGCCCCGGGCACTTATTCGAAGATTTACGGTAACCGTCACTGAAGGTAGCCCACCTCATCGAGACCCTCTTACACACAAAAAATATCAAAGAGAAAATAAATAGACTATTAATTCAATTGAAGTTACTTGACACTCATTGTCAGATGATGCTGAGGTATTGTGCCAAATTTCAATTAATGCGGTTGTAAGCTACATATATACTTGGTGTAGCACGCATGAAGACATACAAGACGGTCGATGGAATAGGGAAAACAGCAACAACAATAATATGTTCATTTGGAATCCCCATATTTTAACATGCCATTACAATAAAATCAAACAAAATGACACAGGTTAAAATTATCAACATAACGTAGGGAGTATATCTAAAGAAATTTAAGAGGGCACTCCCTAAGGATTTTTACCTTAGCTCGTGTTTTATCCCGAACAAATAACAAGTGTCATACCAAAATTGTTTAGGACATTTCAGAAATCCTACACACATATCATTATTTTACATGTGTTTGGTCATTTTACAACCGTACAATGTAATTTTACTTACTTTACTTTAATGGTTGTACTCTTTTTTGGAAAAACTCTATAAATGTTCTAAACTTCATAGTCTTTCCTTTTTTTTTTTGGTTGGTATTGTAGTTTAATGACCGTACACTTAAACGAGTTTGGAAATGACTGTAAACTGTTTTAAAACTATTATCAATGATATTTTGATTACGGTACTACACTTAATAGATTTCCTGGTTTTTTATTTTTCGTTTTGTTTCCATAATTTTTTGACCGTACTCAGTAAACTTTAAACGATTTGTAAATGACCGTGCACTGCTTTAAAACTATAATCATTTTTTCGACAGCCTTTCTACACTCATAGGTCACGCTACATCAATGACTGTTCTATTCTTTATAGTATTTCTTGTTTTTTGGGGTTTTTTTTGCTATTGTAGTTTAATGACCGTACACTTTAAGTAATGATCCACATAAGAACTGTAGCATTTTCTATTGTTCTGCGTCAATGCGCTTTCCCCACATTGAAACGGTTGTGTTTTCATACGGAGAATGTATCAACCGATGAAAAGCATGTTTATGAAATAAAATGTATTTAAACTCTATTTTGAAAGGTAGCTTCCTTTGTGTTAAAACTTTCAGCCAATCAAAACAGTCTTAGACGGAGACAATAAAAGCTGCCAATTTTGCAATGTTTCCCACATAGGATTACTATAGTATTTAGACTCAGAAGAGGTTTAGTTGAAAGGAAGATCGTTGATCAATTACGCATAAATATATACACAGCTACCTCAAGTTTTGCTAGAGTTTTTTGATTGAGCCAATCAGAAGTATGATACAGCAATAGCAAAGTTGCGCAAAAGTTAGCACCTTTTTGCATTCCTTGCTGCGTGGTACTATTCTTCTTATATGGACCGTTACTTAAAGGGTTTGAAATTGACTGTACACCGTTTTTCAACCATTGTGATTTT